AAAAAATAAAAAATCTGACATAAGACGACCTACACACATTATATACTTATTACATATTATATACTAATTATATGTAATAAAATATTAACTGACGAAATCCAAGGTCTGGACCTATAAATAGATACCCGGCACGTATACTGTGTCATATCAAATATTATATTAATAATATAGAAATTCGAGAAAAAAAAATACTGCGTAGTCGTCGGCGAGATTCACTTAACTTGTGTCGGTTTCCATAAACTTCTTCGAAAAACAAGTCAGGCGCACTTATCATACTTGGGGCCAAATCTTAACCCGACCTCAGCTGATGTATGCCCCAATCCATTTGGATTTTTACCTTCACCGCGAACCGCACTTGGTATATGTATGATATATTTGGCTATAATCGATTTTGTTTGTTTTAAACTAATAATAAAAATAAAAATAAATTTAAATCCCAGGGAGGCTTCAATTATGGTTTTTTAATAATAATAATAATAATACACAACGATCATAATTATTATTGTTAGAGCAACACAAATTGTTAAAGATTTATCGCTTGTAATACTAACCTACGTACGACGTTAATTTAATAGTATACTGTTTTTAGTGCTCGAAAAGCAAAAAAAAAAAAAACTATTCAAATTTAGACCGATCGCTATCTCGATAGAAAGTTTTGCGACTATAGAAAAGAAAAAAATAATGCTCGGACACGATTTAATTAAAATCGTTTTGACCTATCATTGTCTGTTATAGGGCAGTTGTCAAAATCAAATAAAGATAATATTATATGTACATATAATATAATAGATACATGTAATAATTTATCGACAACGATTAGCAATAATAACGGTTATATAACGTGACAGAGTCATGTCTGTCGGACACCTACTTAAATAAAAGTTCACTAATGTCTTGAACATGTCTTAATAATCATAATAACATAGGTTTAATAAAAAACCGGTACGGCTACCAAAAATAGCATATTATTTATCTACATAAAAAAAATATTCCAATTAACCAAACTATAAAACGAGACTTGCCGAAACGAGGTTTTAGAGCTTATAATCGAAATTATAAATTAAATAACTTTACCAGATGAAAACCCGGCCCAAAATCTGTGTTGTTCGGACCCGACTAAAACCAAAATATTATAATTATCCAAAATCGACGCACTTGATTGCCTAAACTAAACCGTGTCTCATACGTGTTATCCAAGGACAAGTTCTGATATAGTATAGACACATTAAGTATAGGTATGCGTGCAACAGGTATAGTTAAACATGATTAATTATCATCCGAGCAGTACAGAGGAAGGCGTGGAATTCTACTTCAAAGTCAAAATATTGGCAATGAACGCCGTCAACAGATTTTTGTCGACATAACCCTTACTGGACGGCTCACTTTATAATAATATCCACTGCAATAGTGCAATGAGAAAAATTCAAATATTTATCAACCCTGTTTGGCACGTTTGTGTGTTTTTTACAAGTCTGTACACGAGCAATAGCTACAGTTCTAGATAACGTGTTATCCATAACATTTAAAAATGGTGAGTATCGCAAAAACACAAGGTACCTAGTAAACAAATACATGGTATGTTTTGGTCTATATAATTTACTTTATAAGGCAAACTCGTATGTTGGTATGTTAATTGCTGTAATAGAATAATTTACTGAACGTAACACGATTATACAAGGTTGGGCAATGCTCGAATAATTTCTGTTTGTCTGGAAAAATTAAAAAAAAAAAATATCTTTGATTTTCTGTTTGAAAAATAACAACAGATACTATTTCTTCTTTAAGATAAATAAAAAACAAACTTTAAGATCATAATTTAAAAAAAAAAATTATAGATAATCAAAATATATAAACGGTAATGTTATTCACTTAATTTTTTGCAAATGAGAAATTGCGATCAACATGTCATGTGAAGATGGTATCTTTTTTATTTTTTACTTTATCTTTATATTTTTAAACTAAAATATTCGGAGTGAGCCCGTTGGAAAGATGATGAAAAAAACTTGTAAAAAAGTATGCGAGGCAAATATATGATATCACAATTTAAAAGTGCGTTTAAAAAAATACTGATTTTTTTTTTTAAAGTTTATAAACAATTCAGTCAATAAACCAATAATGTAAATCAAATATTTTTCTCATACAGTTTTTCCATATTTTTTTCTCTCTCATCTTTCCAACAAGCTCACTCCGAATATCGCAGCTTTAAAATTGAAAAAGATATATGTGGTCAAAAGAAAACAGAAATATCATAACTTTGAGCCGCCTCTAAATATTATCCGATCAAGTTCAAATTTTACAGTCAGATAGTCAAATCTTATAGTAGTTGGCCTAAATTTAATATTGGCGCAATTTTGCATTGGTTTTTGATAATTTTACCTAAGTATTGCGTGTGTTCGTGTGTATTTTGCAACAGAATATTTATAGAACAAGGTGTAAATAAATTAAAACAATTTGTAGTATTTTTAGTATTTTTTTTTTTTTTTTGACACTTTTTTTTTAAGGAATCAGGTGACTTTCAAATTAAACAAGTATCCACTATATATGTATGTAGTGTTGAAGGCGTGCCCGTACTAGATTTTTGTTACGATTAAAACGCGCAAATTCACAGCTAATCTGCATGCCAGTTGTTCGTTTAGTAATTTTATGTATCTGTAGTAGTTTACCGGCTGAAAGAACAACCAGTTTCGAGTCTCTTTGGGTCGGTGTCCCAATTTTTACAAACACCCTTATATATATATATATATTATATTCTACATGTCTATAATATTATGTAAACGATGCCGGTGATTATTACTCTTGTTGCACTATTGCCACGAGTCGACTTCCTCTCTAAACGTGTAATCCGAACCCATTAGAAATCGGTTCAAATGCAAAGTGTGTTATTATAAAATAAAATTATTGTAAAAACTGTAACATCCGGATGCAGCTGCATGTGTGCAATACAAAACTGATAACGGACAGACATCATCAACTCACTTGGGTCACACAAGACACACAATACATAATAATATTATTATTATTATACATATGTATATTATAACGATGATTCATGAGATGGTAACATTTTAAATTGTATAAAACATCCTATTATTATTGTACACTACTGACTTCGCCTAATGACTGAAGGTCAGGGGAAAATAATTAAAGCAATACATTATTATGAAAGTAAATGAAAATTTTATCCATCTACAAATCCAGTATGATTCCTTCGGATAGGATCTTGTGAGTCTGAGTTGGGCATTATTCCATTGAAAACCTAATAATAATTTATTCTAATAAACCGCTAATAATATTATTCGCAGTGTTAACTGTAATTTATTTGAATAACAAAATCGTTTGAATAAATTTGTTTGTTATTTTCCCAACAATGCGGTTTGGAAATATTATGTAATATAGTAACTTATACAAATAATATTATATTACATATTTTACTTCAAAAATATGCGTTTTTCAAATTATTTTATTTTATCCAATTATGCTCAATTCTGTTACTCGAGTTGTTTTTATAAAAAATTGGGTTTTGTGCGGTTTTTTTTTGTACTAAACAAAGATGTAAAATAAAAATCATTTATATTTAAAAAACAATTAAATTATCTAAGGGTTTCCCCGCAATGTGTATTCCCCTAATTCGATTGAATAGCAAATTTTAACTTAAAAGGTTTAATTTAATAATTAGTTTGCATGGCTAATTTATGACAATTGTGTGTTTCGACTAAAAATAGGTACAAATCTTACACTACCGTTGTGCACTATAGTGAAAACACACTGCTCGCACCAAATAAGAAACATGTTATGCTAGGTAGGTATAATATATTATTGTGATCGTGTAACCCGTCGGGTGCAACGTACTCGACTCATCTCTCAATCTTTACATTGTTTGGTACATACACCCGTCGTTTTCCATCCATGACATCCATTTTGAATGTATTTAAAAAACGCACCTCCGACATGGGGAAACGGTACATCGGTTAAGCAAAATTTATAAAAAACGGGGGTTTTTTTTTTGAGAAAAAAAGGCTTACAAAAGTGAAAAATAATTTTAAAAATTGTTAATCCTACCGTTTTTGGTATTAAATATGTATTATTGACAGCACTGAAACCAAACATTGAATAACAAATGTTCAAAAATTTGTTTTTTGATGTTAACTATTAAGGTCAGTATTGTAAACCAACGGCGCAAACGGAACTGTAACGGTATGTGCTTTGTGTATTTCAGCCGTGTTGTACATAAGCGTCTCGTAACCGAACAATTTTAATTAACAACATAAAAAATTGTCAATTTTCACACGGCAATAACTACATATTATTTTTTTTTAATTTGGCCCATTCCAATTGACCTTATTCGATACCGGTAGTTGAAATAGTATGGCCAGGACATAAAAGAGTAGAAAAGAGTTTAAATAAAAATTATTATATACTCGAAAAACGATATAATGTCTAAAGACAGTTATTTGGATACTTTACAATAATTTTGGAAAGTGCTGCAGTTTATTAGCTCAAAAATTATATGTTTAAAAACTGGAAGTCAACCAAGAATATATTATTAGTGTTTTTTTTTGAGAGCCATTTTTTTTGTCTCGAGCTATATTCGTTTACTCATTTATTAGATTGATTTACTCATTTACTCGATTTGTTTATTCTTTTACTCATACACTTAATTTCTTTATTAATTTACTCGATTTGTTTATTGGTTTACTCATATACTCGCTTGATTTACTCGTTTACTCATATACTCGCTTGATTTACCCGATTTGTTTACTCATTTACTAGATTTCATTTACTCGTTTACTCGATTGATTTATCAAAGCCTAAAAACATTATAGCTTCTACATAATATTTAGCTTTAGCTAAATTGAATTGTTTTTGAATTCTAAATTGACCATAATGGGTACTCCTCTGAAAACCCGTGCCCAAAAAATCTGGGGGGGGGGGGGCAAAAGGGGTTTAAATAAAAAAGAATACATTTTTTGCCCATTGAGAAATACGTTGGTGAAACTTACGGGCTTCGATGGCCGTGGCTATGGCGACGAGGAACAAGCAAAGGGTCGGCAGCGTCGGGACAGTGGCGGCGGCCACCGATCGTCGTCCCGTGGCGGAGGCGGCCATGGCGTTGTCAACGTTCGATCCGACGGCGTTGTCGACGAGCTGACATTTACGGGACGCAAATTAGGCGTGTAATATTATGCGAAACGGAATAATATTCCGTACGTAGAATTCCGTGCGCGGGTCTTGCAGTGTTTGCCGTCGAATTCGGATCGCTCGAATCCGGTGTCTGCGTGTGTTTGTCTGCGTGTGTGTGTGTTTGTGTGCGTTGCTCGCGGGCGATGTACACGAACTGAGCAGCGCCGACACAACAGCTGGACCCGGAGGTTCGGAACGGCGGCGGCGGCACCGGCTCACGGTGCGTCTGGGAGAAAGCCGGCGGCAACGCGTTGCCCGGTTTGTCTTCGGCCCCGGCCGCTGCTATTGGCGCGCGGCAGTGAAAGTACAATCGTAACATAATATTATTAAACGCACGGGTACAATATTTTTTAAGCGGTTCGGTTGCGTGGAACAGTCGCGGGCCGAAACAAGGTCGCGGAGGCCCGTCCGTCGTAACGGCCCGGCGCGTCATCGGAGTTCGTGAACGCCTATCGCCGATGATACCGTCGCGCCGTTGTCGTCGAATACCGGCGGTCACCTCTCGTCCGATTATTAAACACTATACCACACTATAAAACCGTTACCGAATAAAATAATAACATCGTCGTTCCGTTTCCTTTGTCGGACCGACCGCTACCGTTACCGACGTGTGGACATTCCACTATCTCTTCCTCCGTCCTCGTACTACCTATCATCCTACAGTATTGTATAGCTGACCTGCCGCAACGTCTATTAGAATTTTCTATCCAATTAATGCATCTTTAGGTATTTGAAGCATAAATCTTCATTATTAAAAATGTAGTTACTTAGAAGTCACGTGGGTGATGGGAAGGAGAGAGCTCAAAAAAATGAACCAGAAGAACAATTGAGTAAACTCGGTTAAGAGTATCCACACTTCATGCAGACACGTCACTACATGGATGTGCTCTGATATCTGCATGAAGTGTGGATACTCTTAACTGAGTTTACCGTTCTTTAAACGGTAGAAATATTAAAATATGATAATATATTATAGTATTGTCTTATTTGTATGTTTTTCCTTAATACTCCTACATACTCCCTCCATCCTCCCACTGTGACACTTATCATGTCGCTCAAAATGTGACGGACAACGGACAAAGGTTCATATTCCCTCTCAAAAAAGTTAGCCAATTAAAGTAATGGTATCTACATTGCGACCAAGTTTGGTTTTGTGTCTCATTCAGAAAGGTCATGTTTTATTCAGAAACTGACCTAGTGTTAAGCAATACAAATGAAAGAGCAGTGTTGCTCATGGAAGTAGGAGTGAACTGAGGTAATGAACTAAAGTAGTAATGAAATTAATGCAGTAACTAAAGTATTGCATTGTGTACAATATTGTATGACGTCGTGTACTTCGTAAAACTGATGTACGTCGTTTTTTAAGTAGGTAAGTATATAAAAACAGCAAAATATAATTTACTTGTTTACAATCAGGAATGCTACTCAAAGGCCATGAAAGAAGCGGTAGTCATGTATTCTCTGCAAGATGTGTACACAATGCGAAACAGTCTATAACTATGCTGAGTGCACGACTAATTGTTATTTTGAAGTGATGATAATAAGCTTAATAGTTAACCTTAATAAAGTAAAGAAATAATATTTCATAAGACGTTGTAGTATTGCCGTAAGTATTATAAAATGTTCGAATTGTTTATTTTATCAATGACGGTTCGGATTTTTATTTCTTTGGGAAATTGTTCCATCCAGCTCTTATCTTATAGTGTCCTTATTAAACCTTTGCGATACTTATAATATGAATCCGTATCAGAACCAAGATCAAATGAAAATGATTTCATCTTAGGGTGCAACTAGAGGTTGTTTTAATATGTTGACACTTTATTGTTCTACTAATAAAAAATGTAGGAAATGTGTTGATTTTCAGGGTAATTTCTTCTTCGCTTGACATTATGTTCCTTGGGGTAAAAAAAAAACTTCCCTAATTTTTTTTTAGATTTTTAAAATTATTTTAGAAGCTGCATGCATCAGTTTTCTAAAAAAAAAATTTGGTTTGTTAGATTTTGATATTTTTAAGGTATAAACATTAATTTTAAAACAGATGATGTTAATACAAAAAATAATTGTCTGTAGAAATAAAGGAATAAACTAGTATTTTGTTTTTTACCATAAAAAAACTATTATTAAACTAATTTAGACCTTAGGAAGTACAATTATTTATAAAAACATCATATATGCTATATTCGACTGGGCTCGACGGGGCGCCTTAATAAGATCGACCGATCACCGAGGTGTGCTAAAAAATGTAAATCTGTATTATCGTCATTTACTGTGGGTATTTATCAATTATCACTATTGAACTATATGAATACGACAAAAAAAAAAACAATCGAAGGTTAAAAATATTGTGAGATGAGCTCAACAACAAAACATTGGGTTGCTCCCGAAACGGTCCCGGATAGGCAACCAAACTCGCAAAATCGGTGGCGTACTGTATAGATTGAAGCTATCCACAATATAACTGCTCTCGATAAGAGTGGTCAGTATAAAAATATTCTATGAGATTGAGGGTACATTTTTTGAAGACGACGTTATACCAATACATTTAACGTGTACAAAAATTATCATCTGTGTTACATTTGTATTTTAGTTTACATTTTGTATAACGCCCAACTTTAACCCTGGTTTGTATAATATTTAAATGTAATACATTTTATTTAATTATTCATAGGTCGTTTATTTAAAAAAAAACTGAAAATAATTAAATTAAATATCAGTAATATCCAGTTATTTAATTAATATCTATAAAAAATATAACAGTTATTATTACTTTTTTTTGTTTTAAACAAAAAATTAAGAAACGTTTATTTGCCTTGTTTACAATACGTTACTGTGATAATACTAAATAATTTTGAAAAATTGATTGTTTTTATATAATTGAATTAAACCTTTTTGACATGTCCACTTGTCTAAAGCACTTTCGTTGTAATATGCGATTAGTGTTTAAGTGCAGCACTATACTATGTTTAAATAGCAAAAATATATTTTATAGAGGCGCCAATTATTATTCAACCTGCCGTTGTATCTAAATTAAATAAAACGACTTTTACCTCCTGGGGTATTTAATAGATAATAAATGAAATCGAACGTGTGTAGATATGTAGTTATGCTAAATCATTTTTTTTTTTATTAAACTGTCAAAGTATTGACCTACAAAAAAAAAATGAAATATTATTACAGCGTTCAATATTCTTGTAAGCCGCACACAAAATCTATACGGGGATTGTATTAATTATCTCGTTTATTCGTGAAAGGATAGTATTTAATGTTAAAAAAAAAATCAATTGGATATCTCGTCTACTTGTATATTGTATCACAGTTAACAGCTATACAATTATAGCGAATGCAATAATTTATTATACACGGTATGTATACCGTGTAGTATGTACCTTGGCAATATTACTTACATGTTTAAATTGTAATAAATATCAATCAATTTTCTCAAAGATATTTTATACTTTTATATTTTAACTTCACATATCACTGTTTGACTTGAATTTACAGTTCACTTTTTACCCAAACACAACTGAACCTAAAACACGGGCAGCAAATATTTTAATGTATTGCACGAGTCCTGTGTCTGTACTGACAAAGAACATGGTTGGTTTTTTTTTAATTTACCCCAGTTTATTTAACAGGGAAATTGCCATAAATTTGTAATACGATTTTAATTTATATAATCGGTTCTAGTTTGAAAATATATAAATACGACGTGTAAATGATTTAATTATGACGAATCAAGGTTATTATTATTATTATTATCTGTAACCCCGCCCGAATAATATAGATATTACATAAATAATATAGGCGGTATGCCTAAAACTACTTGAAAAAAAAAATAAACGAAGGTCTGTACACTGTTTTTTTTTTTTGTTACATATTAAACCACATTGTAACGTTAAATACCGGAATAATAATTATTATTGCTCGTTAACCGGTTTTATATATATATACAATATACATATACTTATAATATAGTGCAAACGAATCATTACAATAGCGAACGCAGTTCACAGTACCTACTTGTTTTGTAAATTATAAAATCAACAGCAAAGATCCTCTCACGGGATCATTTAGATGTGTTTTACAAAAGCAAGAGAAGTGAGACATTGGTTCAATTGGCAGACGAGCAAGAAATCAATACAAGTGATTCTATAGGAAACGTATACGAAGGCATGCTTGACTTTTTTGTGTTCAAAATATACATAGCTAAGCTATTTGTTGGTACTCAATTGCCTCATCGACAGCATCGTATTGAAGTGCTTCCCTTAAAAATTCTTCACTTGCTCCATATAGAAGAGTTGTGATCATGTTCATAAAATGCCGGCAAGTGAACACAAAACTACACAGCAAATCTCTGTAGACTTTGGCTCTCGCGTCCGTTACCATATTTTCAATGACTTGTGCATTTTGTATTAATCCATCCGAGTATCACGTATCGATGCTCATTAAATTGTTGTACTCAACTGCCATATCATTATTCGTTTGGCTTGTACTTGTTTCGACCGTTTCACCTTTTTGAAAAAAAATGAATATCATCATAACCATTGGTATCCGTAAGAAAAACATGATTTACTTTTTTTTTAAATGTATACCAAATTAAAAAAAATTTCCAATAAGTTTTTAAACTTCTTTTAAAACGGTTTAATTAAACACACTTAACGTGAAACGTTTCTAGCCGAGTACAGTAATAAATAATTGAAAACATTCTTTTTAGTATTGTGCATAAGAAAAAAGTTTATATTTTTCTTCATAATAAATATGTACAAAACGATGATTTATACTTTTAGTGAATGTTTTCAAATACCGCTATTTTCTACATTGTCAGTATCGCGCATACTTATTTGTTTTGCAATAATATTATGCAGTTGTAGTCGACGGCTTAGAGCAGTACAGAGTGATTCATTTAGGATAGGATTCATTTTCTCGGGATATATTAATATTTTGAACAATATTATTTTCCAAGATTTGTTGATGACCATTGTACTATATTTTTCAATATTTTGAAAATGTTTATCACCAATCCTTATAAGCCGAAAAGAGGGATTTTTGGTTTTTCAAAATGGCAACATCTGTTTTTAATTACATGAATTTGTATACAAAAAATAAAAAAACATTTTATCGTTTGAATTTTGAATT